CAAATCGAACTACCGGACTCTAAAGTGGACTCTCGGACTCTGAAGTACACTCTCGGACTCTACATGAGACTCACAAACTTCCACCAGACTCCCGTACTCCTACCGAACTCCAGGACTCCGGGAGTCCCGGAGTCCGCTATTTCCCCCTTGTATAATGAGCAATAGCTTGGCTATGTTCTTACTTGTATTATTATTTTTAATAAAGTTTATATAAAAAAACCTTAGTCGTGTATTGCCTAACATTGATGGATACCGAGTGTATTCGACAATCCTGGAAGATGCATCTTCTTCTACACTCTTCGAATCGAGTCGGTGTGATATACAGTGGGCATATTAGGGTCAACGACCATCATATAAATAATTTACGCACCAAATAGTGTTTGCCAGTTATCTGGAAGCCCTAGGAGGCATTGCACGATAGCGGCGACGTAGCGTGCTCAATCTTTTTTTAAAATTTAATTCTGATTTTGCCAGTTTGTAGCTAACTAAAGTTGAGTATATTCTGACATTTTTAGTCTTTAGCGATGTTTCATTGATCGGGAATAAATTTCTTATCTCGATACATCACTCTATTCCACACGTTTTATGACTTTTTGTATGGTCTGGCTCCTGATTCAGAAAGAATGTACGTTCTAAGGGATGAAACAAATTTTTGAAAACAGCGATGCGTAGTTTTGTTCGTCTTTAAATGCTGATTTCAATGGCGTATGACGATCGGAGAAAATTTTCAAAACCACGGAGGAGATATGTTTGCGAGATAGGCAGCTCATTTTGTCTAACGTTTACTCTTTTCAAAATTATGTAACACAGGTATTTTGTTTTTTGTGACTCAAAGGTACACGACTAGACTCAGCTTTTGATGGTGGATCCGAACATATTAAATTCAAAAAATTACAATGAACGGAAGGTAGAAACATCTCAAGTTTTCTCAGAGGAATGCAAATCTTTTGTTCTGTTGATGCTCTTAGTATTTTGAGGATTTCTTCGCGAAAACTCGATCGAATTCGAATTAAAAAGTGATATTCAGAATCAGCTCATTTAGGGCTATCGGAGTATGCAGCTTTCGACCGAAAGTTAAGATAGTGCTGCATTTTTGAATCGCGGACATCTTTGATACTGACAAGATTTGAAGCTTATTAACGTGCATAACCCAGAGAGATCTATGGTCGAAAACTGTAATTGTTGCAAAAGAAAAAAGTAAAGATATGTATCATGAAGTAATAGAATGATAAAATGAGAACTATCTTACTTCTCTCTCTTCTTTCTGTCGCTTGTCAGTTTTATTTGACAAAACAGTAAAAAACAGGCAGCGTGGGGTTCAGCCTATTATGAAGAAAAAAAGGTAAACAAAGAAAAGTTGCGTATGTCACAATTTTTTAGCATGTTATATTTTCTTGTTCGCTGGTATTAACGTTTTTTATATTCTTGCTGCCATCCAGAGGCTCGTGATTTATGTGTGGAATCGCTGTTGGCTTGAGAATCGAAAATTCGAAGTTAGATCCATGTCTGCATTCCACACATGTTCTTCTGAACCTGATGAATCATGCCTTACGCCTGTAGGATTTTGATCTTGTAGATCATTTCTAACGTTAGAATAATGCTTCTGTCATATGACACCGTGCATTTCTAGATATGCAAATACGAATCAAAGTGATGTACACGTTCAGTGTGTTTTGGGCACACGTTACTTTTTACAGTGTAGAAATCTGCGAATCCTCTCTTCTTTACACTAATTACTGAGACAGAAATAACAAATAAACTTACAGCACTACGTCCACCAGTATAGCTAGTAACATGTGAGTGATCACTTGTAACCACTATTTAAACATATACAGTACTATTTAAATATATATATAGTGCGGCCTTCATATGAATGTATTATCATAACTCGTAGTTTCCTTTTGCACAATTTAGTGCAATGGGAAAATGCGTAGTTGGAGAAGTACAGCATATGAAAGATCGGTAGATCGAATCCAGGAGAAGACCAACTAAAAATTGTTCTAATTAGAAAAGCTGTTTTAGTACTTGTTTGTACTTGGTTGGCTAAGAGCAAACAGTTTTATTCTTGAAAATATTGTATTCATCTGGACGTTGAGTGTAGGGGAATCAGTACCTGTGATTTTTCCCTAATGCAGAAGTGCCTACAAGGTAGATAAGAGTTGATATTCGAAATCAGTGTAGCCGAGTGCATATATTTCAGCGAGAGTTGTAAAGTAATTCTGTAAAACAAAAACGTTTACGATAACTCGTGGAAACTTCAGACTAAAAAGTTTATCCGAAAATTTGGGTAGATTTTGCTTTTCACATTCATATACGTTCTATTTGAAAAACAATTAGGGAGAATGGGCGAAAAATGGACTTTTAGTATCGCTACTCATTTCTTGAAGAATATGTTTTGAGAAAGCGAATGCTATCTCATTCAGTTTTGAGGCAGATCTTCAAAATCCTAAATTGGTTTTGGCCTCACTATAATGTTTCACGATGAAGCTTGCTCAAATCCTTGGACACATGCCCAAGGATTTGAGTGATCCACTGATATATCATTGGATCAAATGCAATCTTACACATAAATAAACAAACCTTGTGGTTTCTCTCTTCCTTTAAAAAGCTAAGCGCACATAAAAACCAACTCATCGCTAAAAAGACATTTTTAGCCAAGAGTCAGTGAATCGCAGACGAACGTTACTTGTATAAAGAGAAAAAATGTTTTCTTATCGTCTATTTACTCATATTGTTAGACTTCACTATTATTTATATTAAACAAATGATCAAAAATCAATTTATTTGAACGATCAATTCTTTCAATTTAATAAATAATAAAATAAAAATACAGATGAAATTATTTTTTCTAGGTCAAATGAAACTTTTTTCTAATTTTTACATATTTTGACCTAAACGTGCGTGACAGAATTACATTTTTTCAATTTTTGAGCTATGTTTTTTCTCAAATACTAACAAAAGATGACGAAATTTTCACCAGAGATGTGCGATAAAATGTTTGGTTTGTGATAAAAATTTGGAATTAATTAGTTTAGTAGAATGGCTTTTATGAGCAAAATAGATGTCCTGACGGAATTACACTTTTTAGCCTTTTTTTTTTACTAGTGCTCTACAAATGTTGAAAAACGCTCTGATAATAAGACATATTCAGAAAAAAGTTTAATATAACAGTTGTTGAGCGTAAAAAGAACTTTCGAATCATCTATTTACTTTTACTTATAAACTCTTAAATGGAAAGAAACAAGCGAAATGACCTCGTGACGGAATTACATCATCTTTTTCTTTCTTTTGTGGTGAGTTTCAGCGTTATATTTCTACCACTAAAAATACTTTTATAAATTTGATTTGTACGGGCCTTATGCAATCGAGTGTTCTCTATCAAACTAAGCGAAAAAATGGTGGGAAAAACGTTTTTGATTTTCTTAAATTGCTTCAGAACATGTGCCATTCGCTTTCGTCTTCGTCTGCGGAGAATGAGAAGCTTGGTTCCTGCTTTGGTACTGTATCATTGCTACATTCTTTCTTAACCACCACAGAAATATGCCTGTAAAAAATATGCCTGTAAAAAATATGCCTGTAAAAAATATGCTTGTAAAAAAGATCCGTAGAATATTCAACCCTATGAAAAGGGTTTAAGCCAGTCATAAACCCTTTAAGCGTTTATTGCTAGTTTCATAAACCCTTTATAAGGGTTAAATATTCTACGGATCTTTTTTACAAGCATATTTTTTACAGGCATAATTCTGTGGTGGTTAAGAAAGAATGTAGCAATGATACAGTACCAAAGCAGGAACCAAGCTTCTCATTCTCCGCAGACGAAGACGAAAGCGAATGGCACATGTTCTGAAGCAATTTAAGAAAATCAAAAACGAAAATCAAAAACCTTTTATAAGGGTTTATTACTTCCTTCCCAAAGAACTTTTCCTGCGATCCGCGATATTTTGCAGGCAACCATTTCATCGCCCAGTCCATATAGACGAACACTGTATCATCCTGTAAATTATTTACTAATTCTTGGTTGACAGATCTTAGTAAATGTGCCTTCCATGCATCGATTCCATCACTAGACATTCGCAGCTTAGCAAGGGCTATGTCAAATAGTTCACGATCATCGACCAAGGTTTTTATTTCATTGTCAATCGTTTCCAGTGTTGCTGCCAAATTTTCACATTCATTACACCGATCATTATGTTTGTGATCACATTTTTCAGCGAAATCATCATCCGTTGGAGATGACAAAGCGTACTTGGTACAATGATCTGCAACGGTTGACTCTTTACTAATATGTAGTTTATGATCTGATTTCAAGTACATACGAGCATGTTTGATGTTGTCGATAAGTGATCGTTTACTGTCTATATCCAAATTCAACTCTTCGACCAACTGGACTAGATCATCGACTGCCTGTCCCGTAATTATGATATACCCTGTACTTAGCTCAATACCGACTCAAAAAATTAATTTTTCTGACGGGCGGAGTTTTTGATGATAACATGAAAGCGTATTTGATCTTTGAAAAAATGTTTGTACAGGTTTTTTTAGACTAAATCAATAAGAATTCTTCAAGTTTTGTATTTTACGCAACCAAATAACCGAAAAATCAGTCAAATATTTGTTTTCTTTTAACATTTTGTTTAGCTCGAAAATCAAACAATATTTTTTCTTGTTTGTTTGCTATTGTTCCTTTTTGTTTTGTCAAAAAACGATATGTTTTGATGATTGGCTTTTTCTTATGAATTGTTTTACAAATCTTTTTATTAACAGTATATAAACAATACAATGAGAAAGAACTCAAACAACAAAAAAAAACATATCAATGTCGAATTTTTCTTTGATTCCTTTTTTCCTTCTAACAAACAACAAAGAAAACTAATGAAATAATAGAACTGCGACAAAAACCATTCTTTTCTTTTTAAAAGAAATTTTATTCTTTCTCACGTGTTTTTTTCCGTTATATAGTATGAAATAAACGAAACAGTGTTTTTTTCTTTTCTGTGCATGTTTCTGCTCGTTGTTGCCTTTATACACAAATATACTGAAAAATAACGTGAAGAGAGGAGAACGAAGAATTCTTCGTTCTCTTTTTGCGTAGAGAACAGAGTCTTTTTGTGTAAACAGAACGAATGGAGAACATACCAGAAAATATACCAGAAAAGTCAATTTAGTCAAATATCGATCAACATAACTACTATTGATGCTTAGTTTTAATCAATATTTTAGAAAAAATATTACAAAAAAAAGTTAGAAGTATTCAAATGAATTGGTTCAATTTTCACTTGGTAATAAAAACTATTAAATTTTGAATTTCAAGCAAAACAACTCATGTTACACATATTCAAAGAAACTAAATCACTTGTCATTTCCTAATAAACACAAGAACGAAACAAAACGGTTTAGATTTTTGACATTTTTGCATGAAAACAGAGTGATATGCAATTTTCCTAGTTGACTTACTCCTTTTTTTAATGTTATTACTGCTTTTTCATCTATTGGTTTTGTCAGATCATATACTTGATCAATATCCATATTCATAATACTTTCACGATTAGCTTGAAGAAACATAAAGAAAATAAACGCCTATTCGGTATGTAAGGGTTGAAAAAAAATCAGTTAAACAATTTTTTTTGATGAATTTGTACGCATAATAGTAAATGATTGTTTTTGACTTTTTTCACGAACTTCTATGAACACAATTTTAATCGAAAATTGGCGATTACCATTTTCTAAAAGTCTTAACTGGTTCTCATATTCATTAATATGATTAATATTTCCTAAAAGTTGACTGAATTTAAATTTTCATTTCTATGAAAAAATTAATTCTATTTTTCCTTATACCTTCAATGGATAAATCAACCATTGAACATTGATATCGATTCAATCCCGTTTCGTCGACGAATTAATAAAAAATAATTGAATTCCCGACTCGTCGACAAATTCATATATATGCAATAAAATATAATTCCTAGTTATAAGCATTTATTTCTAATCAAGAACAGAAATCAAGCAATTTCTACGCAGTTATAGAAAGACACATTTTTAAAACAGTGCGAGATGTATCAATACGTTTAGTTTCCTGAATCTGATTACAACAGAAAATTATTGAGTATTATTATTAAAACTTATTTGTTATTTTTAGGATATCGGTACATAAAAGACAGAGTGCGAAATGAAAACACGTACTGGCGTTTTGAGAATCGTTCAACCTGCAATCGTCGTGCTGTTCAAAAAGGATCCGAATCCCCAGTTGTTTCAACACCGCATAAACTGAATTTAGAACGAAATGAGCGTTACTGAATCCAAAATTTATAACATCAGACTTCGAGCGTGGAGCAATAAATGCACTGGAACTTGTATTTCCCAATTTAATTATGAAAGGATGTAATTTTCATTTTAATCAATGTTTATTCAAAAAACTGCAGGAACTAGGTTTTCAGAAAACGTTTTATGAGGCTCAGGATAATGATCTAACAATCGTAAAATCTTTGTATCAGCGGTTTGTTGCTCTGGAGATTATGCCTTTAGGTAAAATCGACGAATTATGGTGCACATGATTGATGATTACTTGGATATACCGAATATTGTGCTATTCTTTGATTACATCATGGTAACATGGATGGACAACAGCGAAGCAATGTTTGAGAAACATCTTTGGAATTATCATAATTTCGATGGCGCAAGAACAACTAACTCGGTCGAAGGATGGCGCCATCATCAGGAAACTGCTAAAACAAGCATACTATAGAGCAACTCTTTCAATTAAACTCGATTTACAGACACAATAGAGAGAAAAGGAACAGAGAAAGGGCGTGCCATTATCTCATTCTCTTCTCTTGTGCTAGCTGTTTTACTCTAATCGGTATAAGCACTACAGACGAAGAATCATTGTCTTTATAACTGGAATCGTTGTCTTCTAAAACAAGACACATACTCTCTTACGTCTTGTTCTCATCTATTTCTCATTCATAATTTCAACATAACGGTGTTTTGACTCGAAAATATGAATAAAAGCCGTTTTGGGTGAAAAACACTATCAAATCCAAACACGAATTTTGTAACAATGAACGGGCAAATCCGGTTCTAACTGGCCCAGTTTGATTTCTTGCCAGTTTTGCTTTAGGCGAACAAGACCGAATCGGTTCTGCCTCTGACTTCTGAAGAGCAATATTCTCTAATAGCTGTAAACGAACAAGCCGAACGAACATTTGAGCGCCGACACTTGAGCGACACGACATTGGAGCGACCGACATTTGAGCGACCGACACTTGAGCGATCGACAGTTGAGCGACCCCGACACTTGAGCGACCATCATTTAAGCGACCCCGACATTTGAGCGACCGACACTCGAGCGCCCCGACATTTGAGTAATAACGACCGTTCAGCACCAAGTGCTCACTCTCACCCTCCCCCACCCTTACCCTACACAGCCTCACCCTCAGATCTCCAAATAATTCAGTTCATAATCGGACGACAAAAAAATTGTTCTGATCATCGTTATCGAAGTGAATAATCATTCGACTTTCCTGATCGGCAA